ATGTGAAAACTAAGAATGAGAAGGGCTTGCATGGATTATTGAATCTGATTGCCCAACTTACGATCGCATTAATTCTCAGTTTACCATTTATTTTTATTTTATTCATTTATTTTTTTTTTTTTTTATTTGCATTTTTGTCTATATTTATAGAAAAAGAAAAACAGCTTAAATGGAACGGTTTTTTTTTAATTATGACACGGACTTGGTTGTATTGACCATAACCTTGTCAGCAGCCCAATACAAACTAGCCTTGAAGAAATCATGTCGTGTGGGCTGCACCGACGAACGCTGTTACTCACTTAGCACTACCCAGGAGCTACAGAATAAGCTACAGACGCAGAGTACCAATACCCCTGCAACGCTCTACGATCCTATTAGACCGTGACCTACAGTTTAATGAGTATCCGAGCAATACAAACATCCATCGCACTTCGAATTCAGACCCGAAACCTGTGGTACCGAGAGGCTATAAATTTCAATCAATTTAAATAGAAAGTCTCATTTCCTACAGAAAAGATTTGCTTAACGTATATTTTTTTGACTTATAAAAAGTTTTGTATTTTAAAGGAAATTTACAATAACAATTATTACGAGCAAAAAAAGTATGATAAATTATTATAAATCAAATAAATACTTTTTATTATTATTGTTTCAAATAAAAATGGAAATATTTTCTTCGGCACGTCTCGACATGTATTTCCTCCGAAAACATGCAAAAATTCTTTCAAAATAATACTTTGAAAGCAAAAATGCATATCCGTCCAAAAAATTGTCCGGAAAACTTTTCAAATCGAGTTTCATAAGCCTCTACGAGACTAAAAAATACATTTCAAATGCAAAATGCAAAAAGAAAAAAGAAATGTATTTGTAACTTATTCTTCAGGAAATTGGAAATCAGAGAAGAAGTCTACTAACTGCATTTGCATGAGAACAAATTGAAATAAGCTACAAAAAGTAAAGGTATTTACATTTCAAGAGTTGGAACTTACATGTCGACATTCGTATTTCGATCAAGGAAGTTAAAAATTTCTCTTCTGTTTCTGTTCTTCAAAATAATATGCTACGGAAATACACTCATGTCCATAAATTAAGGATAATTCAGAATCACACAGAAATTGAACTCTAAAATAAAAATTTCACCTGTAAAATTATCACACACATCTTGAAGAAGAATATGCAAATTACAGGAAACCAACAGATGGCGCGGATAGTACATCACAATGACGAGAGTGTAAGAGAGGGGTATATAAGGAATGGTGGCAAAGAAGTATAATTGTTCACAAGCGCTTTAAAAGCCTTTCAGTGCAATAACCGTATAGTTATGGCACAAAGGAAGCATTTGGATGATTTTTTACGTGGTAGAATTATCGGAAGACTGGAATGTGGACATACCCAGGTAGAAGTATCCGAGGAACTTGGAATCGCCCAGAGTGTCATCTCCAGGATTTGGCGACGATTCCAAGATGATGGTAATGTGAGTAGATGTTACAGCACAGGTCGCCCCCGAGTTACAACGCCGAATGAAGACCGGTATTTAGCAGTTACTGCCAAAAGAAACAGACGGAGCACAGCATCAGACCTTTCTCGTCAGCTCTCTTCAGCTACTGGTACGACAGTTTCAAGACAGACCGTGTACAGACGCTTAGGGCACATTGGTCTATACGCTCGTAGGCCTAACAGATGTGTTCCACTTACCGCAACTCAACTAACCTGGAGTAGAGAGCATGCATTGTGGACACCGCAACAGTGGTCTGGTGTGATGTTTTCCGACGATTCCAGGTTTAATTTGCAGTCAGATTCTCGCCGGACTTTCAATGGAGAGCGCCAGGTACCCATTACCACCAAGAGAACACCATTGAACGACACCGTTACGGTGGTGCAGGATGGCTCGTTTGGGGAGGAATTATTCTTGGTTCCAGAACTGACCTGCAAGTTCAGAGTGTAACGATGGCAGGCCACATCTATCGGGATGTCATTCTGGAACCACATGGACGGTTGTTTCGGGGCGCCATGGGTGCTGAATTTCTGTTTATGGATGACAACGCCCGTCCTCACCATGCAAACATTGTAGACGAATGCCTTCAACTGGAGGATATCACCGTACGGATTGGCCAGCATACTCACCGGACTTGCATCCAATAGTGCATGTGTGGGATATGCTTGGCCGACGAATGGCAGCCCGTCAACCCTCCCACCTGTCAACCTGAACTTCGGAGGGCATTGCTGATGAGTGGTGTAATATTCCCCAAGATCAGATTGATAATTTGATACTCAGCATGCCTAGGCGTTGTAAGACCTGTATTGCATCGTCCAGGAGACATACTCCATATTAACCATCATACTAACCATGTTATACCGTTTTTTGTAAATAGGTTCTTTTTCAAAATTTGCTCCAGGAGTAAAAATCGCAATTTTTATTAATTATGTCAAACATATAGCATCTTTTTTGCTCTTTACCTTTTTGTTTAATAAATAGACTTTACAAATAAGTCAAATTTGTTTTGCTTCTGTATCTTTCTTTTTGCCTGAACTTCATTATCCTTAATTTATGGACATGAGTTGCATATTTCTTTGATTTTAAATTCTCAATATCATTTGTAATACTGTGAGGATTTTGCAATAAAATATTACTACAAATAAAGTCGCATGTTATACAAATGTTATGAATTTTATACAAGGATTTCAAGAAATTTTTCTACATATAAACAAACATTTTAAGAATGATGTCATGCATATAATATGTCTTGTTACACCTAAAAATATCTTTTTATAATCTATATTTATCTATATTAAAATGCAATGTTATACTTTTCTTTTTAACAAATGGCGATAGTTCTGAATAATAATTCAAATTCTTCATGAAAAACGATTTTCAATTTAAAATAAAAGCACCAATTTTCCCCTGAATTTCGTCTAAGAAGGCATTATTTTTCTCCTCCTACACTTACATCACAAACTGTTTAAAAAATTGTAATCTTGTAATAAAATTGCCATAAAATACCTTTTTTACATTTTAAGGAAATGGGGAAAATTAAAAATTCCTTTGTTTCTGTTCTTGAAAATTATATGTTACGGAAATATTTTTCCATGTTTTTTTTTTTTTAATTTTAAATTATCGATAGCTTATAATACTGTGAGGAATTTTGTAGTAAAATATTACTGCAAACAAAATCTCATGATGTGCAAATGTTATGAATTTTATACAAAGATCCCAAGGAAATTTTCTACAAATAAATATTTTAAGAATCATGTCCTGTATATAATATGATTTCTTATACCTTAAACACGCCTCCTTGCGCACTTGGATAGCGCGTTCGGTTGCTAACCGAAATGTTCGTGGTTCGAGCTCATCTGGGGTGTTAATCGTTCTTTTCATTGCAGGAATCGTATTTTGGATGTGATAGCCAAGGACTAGCAATCTGGCGCTCGGTCCCACAAGTTTGGGTTTCTAGACCCGGCGGTGCCATGAATGTTTGTAGTGGGGCAGAATCTACTTTAAGTTGCAGGTCCCGGTCTAACTTAGATGTCAGAGCGTTTGGCATCCGGCCGATTACCCCTACCCCATAAAAAGTAGCCAGCCCAGTTGGACTTCTACTTACAGGTGCTCCAACACATCAGAAGCTGCCCCACCCCTTTTTTTCTCCTTCCATGAGACTAGACGGGTTCTTAGACTTAGTCTAGATGTTGCTGTCTACCAAGTGGAATAAGAAACGAAAACAACAAATCTTTAACTTTATGAAAGGTTTGTCAATTGTCAGCCCTATGCCCATGTGATCTAAAGTTATATTAAACCGGTACCTATGGTTTAAACTGGATTACGAAACCCTAAAAACATCTATGGTACTGCGGGGACTCGAACCCGAAGCTTAATGCATCGAGCGCCAGAGCACTAGTCACTCATCCGTCAGATTCCGAAATGAGATACAAATTAAGCAAAATTGCTTATAAAAACTTACCGAATAATAATTTTTATTTCTCTATAAAGCCAACAAATAAAAAGAACGCATCTTTTTAAATCAATGTTCTTTTCAAAATTAAATTTTTTTATATGTTAAAAATATACTGTATTTCATATTCTTCTTCATTGGCGCAACAATTACATGGTGTGCCAAGGCCGTCTGACTACCGGCAGATTTCGAGACAGGAAATGTTTTTTTTTAAGGGTAGGATTATCAGCCCAACACGCTATAGTCATATTAGACCTGGATCTGGGGTGTAAAATAAATTTTGAATTACTACAAACAACCATCCTTCCGAGACTCCAGCCTAAAACCAGTGGTACCGAGTGTCAGTCCCTTGGCCATCAAGCCCCATTGAGATAACTTTGTACAAATGAAACTTTATGACTTCATGCATTATTAATTTTAATTAAATGATCTTTAAATGATCAATCAGTTTTTTCTTCTCTGAACAAAACATTTTGTAAATTTATCCATTCAAATGCATCATTTATAAATATTTAATAAATTTACAAACAATTAAGATATTTTTGAAATATTATGAAGAACTGTAATGTATAACATTAAGTACAGCTATCTATCAACTTGCTAAACTGTTCAATTAAGCACATTAATGCCTTTGGATAAATTCCTTTTTTTTTCTTAAGCGTCTGAGATATTCTCCTCGTCTTAATAGATATCGCTATAAGTCACTTTCTTTGTTATTGTTTTGCCCGCATTAAATTCTGCGTGGTATTAATTAGTCTGGTCCCAGAAAACATTGTCTTCTCCAAAGGATTTCTTAATCATTGCAAATGCCTCATAATTTAATGTTATTTGCACACTACATTGCTCGCCATTAGTTAGGCGCTTGCAAAGTTCCAGATAACCCCGGAATAAATTGCGTGGAAATTTTAAGTCATTACTCCACAATTTTAAATCGTTATGCATCGTGTTCATAAAGTGATAGCAGTAAACAAGGTTTTCCCATGAAGAAACTTATTGCATTTGTGAGTCATTAAATACAAGTAATTCTAGGTTTAGTTTCAGTATAAACTAGATAATATTAAAAAATAAATAAATAAAAGATAGATTTTATATAGTTAGCATACAAAATCAATGGTGTCGAATAATGATATTTTCCACATTCTTTATTACAATGATGAAATATATATAAGATTTTGAATAAGTAAAAAATTTATGAAAAGTATTTTATATAACTTCATTTTTCTTTATCACCATAAGTAACCAAGTGAATTTAATTTTACTATTACTTTTAATATATGGATATTATGTAAATATAAATTAAATTACGACTGAATCTATATTGCTTTTTATTTATGCCAGCAGTATTGCTTAATATTTTTAAAAAAATATTATTAAAAATAATTTGTAAAAACTAAATAATTATTATCAAAATATTTTTTAAAAAATAAAATATTATTATTAAAAATATTTTTAAAATATTTAAAAATAATATTTTAAAATTTAATAAATAATATTTTAAAAAATCTTCAAGCTACACGTGCCCCCTGGGCAATGTTAAATGAGTAACAGCGGTGCAACCATTGCTTATGGCATAAAGATCTCTGTATTGCTCATGACAAAGATATCTGTATTGCTTATGACATAAAGATCTATGTCTCTGTACTGCCAGCTGCTTTAGAAAAAAATATTTTAATTAGTTTAATATTATTATTAAAAAAATTAAACATTATTATTGTTATCATTACATTTTTTTTACTCCTTTTGAAAAGTAATGATAAATTATGTTGTTTTATAGCTTGTTATCATAAAACATTTATAACTTCATCGGCTTTTTATTGTAATTTAACAAAACCTCCAAACTTAATTAAATGTTAAGCCTTCGTTTCTCTATTATTTATGAAAATAATATGCACTTGTAGTTTGATAGTTCATTTGACATGATTCAAAAACAAAATGATTAGAGTTTGTGATTTTGTTTCAGTACATATTAAAAACAATAAGACAACTAAATAACGTACACAGAATCAGAATTAGAAATACTGCTTATTTCAAGACATTTTGTTTGGTTCGTCGCTCTACAGTCATTTTGTGCACAATTTGAGCTAATTGAACCGGGACCTCCCGTTTAAAGTGGATTCCGAACCACCAACAAACATCCATACCCCCGACAGGATTCGAACCTTAAGCCTATGGTGCCAATCACCAAAGCACTAGCAATTGGCCATCAGGCCGCTTGAAGATGTTTGGAGTTTTGTAGCATTAGTTAAATATTTTAATTTCTAGTCAATTTGCGTCATCTCTCATTAGGAAAATATGATGCAGTTGAATACGAAGTGTTCTTCTAATTCTGCATAAATATTTGTGATAATTATAATCAAGGTGAAAATAATTGAAAACCCATAGTTTATCTAAGTGGTCACCTTTTTTTTTCACTCAAAGAAGGGAAATTATTATAAAAATCACAGCAAAAAAAAATAATAAACGTTATATTAAAAATAAAAAAACTTCCATAATTATAACTGTAGCTAATAAAATAAAAAATAATAATTTTTATAATAAACAACAACTTAAGTTTTAACTTGGCATTGAATATATTTATATTTTATTCAAATATTATCTAAATTTTCATCATATATCATATTAAAAATCAACATGTATCGTATTTATTTCATATAGTTTTCAATAATGTATTTCAGATAGTTTTGGTAAATGATAAACATAATGTTTGAAATTCGCTCAGGTATTGATTAATAAAATCAATTAGTACATTAAGATTACTATAAAAAAAATAATAGGTTTTACTATTGACTGAAATTTAAAAATAATTAAAATTTTTCTGATTATAAGTATATTGTCTAAAGCATAATGCAATCTTTGTTTTATCAATTTAATATCATATTAAATGAAATATATTTATCTATTAAATTGTTTAGTAAATATCACAACTATTAGAAGAATATATATATGTAATTCATTAGTTTATGGTGGTCTTTATCGAAAAAAATTATTTGCAGTTAAATATGCATTTGAATATTTATAATCACTGCAAAATCATCTGTATAGGTTATTCAAAATAATAATTTTTCCTATTAAACATAAATTATAATTTTCAAAATTTTTAAACAAATAATTATATTTATTAACTCAAAAATAGGAATTACTAGAAAATCACAATTAAATAATAAACATTATATTAAAATTAAAGCAACTTATTTAATTATCAAAAAGTAACTGCAACTAATACGTAAAAATAATAATTATATAATAAATATTAATTTAAATTACGATATTATTTTAAAAATATATATTAAGAATACATGCTCTTATAAAATATCTTTTAAATATAATTAATCTTTTTTCCAGATTAATATATCGTTTTTAATTGTATTTCTTTATTCGTATATTTGCTTTGTTTTATTCAATTCTAATATATATACATTGCATTATTGACAAAATGAAATAACAGCATAGGTTTATATATACTTCCATTTTTTTATTCCTTTTGAAAATACATTTTTTCATCTTCTGAAATGTGATGTATAAAGTTTGACGAAGTATATTTTACGAATTTCTCACCCTTTATGAAAACTTTAATGCTTCTGTCTTGAATAATAAAAGGCAACGGCGTAATATATTCGTGAAAAATAATAACCCGGTAAAATATTTACAGAATTTTTTTTAATAAAGACCTGTCAAGGAGCCGGAGTTTATGAATCATTCATCATTTTGTCTGGTTAGTAAAAAAATAAAGTTCAAAACTCTTCCATCACCTAGCTCTTTTATCTTTAAACTACATATTATGATTCTAGAGCTTTCTTATTTAAGTACATTGAAAAGGATAAATACTTTCCAATAGGCAACTATTTTCTGAGAGATAGCAAATAAGTTAATAGTCTATAAATTTAAGATCAGTTATTAAATGTAAAGTATCGTTCGACAGTTAGTGGTTTTCAAATTTAAATTCAATCCATTAAAATCCATGGTAAGTGGTAAAAATCCATTTTAAAAGCAAAAACTGTTTAATCGATTACTTGTTAGGAATGCTAATCATATCTACGCAGCGCAAAGCAATTTCCGAAGCGAAAATTTTGTAATAGTTATTTCGGAATTTTTCCTTCAAATGTTTGCTTTAAAATGATGCAATTTAAGATTTTAAACATTAAAAGTTTATGGTTATATTATTGAAAATTAAAGTCTCTCCGAAAAACACTATATTGCCTATTTCGCCACCCATTTTATCTGGTCCGATAGATTGCTTGACAATTTTCCACATAATTGGTAGTTGAACTATGCGTAAAGTATCCTAAATGATATTAAAATAGTGTGGCTTTTGATTCGAAATCATTTAAAATTGGAATGACACGTATGAGATTCAGCTTTATCTAGAACACACCGGAGGGAGTTTCAACCTATCACCATCATTAAATTTGGAAC